ACCATAAACTTCATGCTATCATACCAGAAAAGAATATACTCAGAGGTTTTCAGGAATCCATTCCCCCACGTTCCTCTCAGAGATTACCAATAGCCATCCAACTGTTCATCCTTATCGGACCTATTAGATCTACAACCATTCAATTATACTACCAAGTTGGCCATTACCAGCCATGCACATTGCCTTTTATGCCTTTCTCAGGCCAGAGAATCCACTACCATCACCACCACTCAGACAGATCATTGTCTTCAATGATCCCACGTACGTAAACACATATATCATTACCTATTGGCTCTACCACATTCCGAAATGAGTCAACATGCACCAACAGTAGAGATAACATACTATCCTACCCACAACAAATGGTGCCCACTTTCGGTCCTAGATTCCTACCTTCAAAATCCTTTCAGGAATTAAATACTGTAATGCATTTAAGGAAATGTCTGGTTAATTTGTATATATTTGTTGACTGTATTAAATCTTTGATTATTCATTTTTGCCCTCTTTATTTACAGGCCTACCGTATCGTCGGTATCGGCACACCACAACCGACTTGCTCCCTTTACACTATCCTAAGCTTATGCTGGATCCTTACTCCATATACGGCTATTTTGCCCCTTACACAAGTATTAAGGCAGTTTTGCCTGTATTTGTGGGAGGGGCTTAAATTAATTCACTCCCCTATATAAGGGACACCCCTTACCTGACTCATATCGCTTGAGGTCAGCATCAGAATGACCCTCCCACCCACTCCTCATTTCAACACTTTCTCTTTTCTTTCCATTTACTTTACTTTCTTACTCCTTGGTGGGCCCTCTTTATTTACAGGCCTACCGTATCGTCGGTATCGGCACACCACAACCGACTTGCTCCCTTTACACTATCCTAAGCTTATGCTGGATCCTTACTCCATATACGGCTATTTTGCCCCTTACACAAATATATATATATATATATATATATATATATATATATATATATATATATATATATATATATATATATATATATATATATATATATATATATATATATATATATATATATATATATATATATATATATATATATATAAAAAACAGTGTTGGCTACCTCCTCCTCCTCCTCCACCGCTGCTTCCACCTACACCGCCATGGTCACCGCCTCCTCAACCTATGGGTCACTTAGTATAAACTATGTACACATTAGCAGAGGCTTGTGAAGGCCTTTTCTCCATGCATCAGGAGTTGAGCATTTCTCCATGCATCAGGACTGCAAGAAATGCACCGCTGGCCGCAAATGTTTCTTTTTTTGTATGTCCCAATATTTTGTGGGCTACCACTATTTAGAAAAAAAAACAAACATAAAAAACAGTGTTGGTTACCTCATCCTCCTCCTCCTCCACCACCGCTTCCGCCTACATCGCCACGGTCACCGCCTCCTCAATCAATGGTCACTTAGTATCAGGGCCGGACTGGGGACACGAAGCAGTCCTGGAAAAAAAATCTATGGCAGCCCCATAAGTCATTGTGCTATGTAGTGTGTGTTCTATAACACAAAAACTACATAATAATATATATATATATATATATATATATATATATATATATATATATATATATATATATATATATATATATATATATATATATATATATATATATTATTGGAATATTTATTTTTCAATTCAAAATATTAGTCCTTTTAGGGTAATTAAATTATACAGTAAAGCATACTCACATGCAGACACAGACAATCTTACTGATGCACACAAATAGGCTCATTGACAGACAATCTCAATGACCCACACAGACAAGGTTACTGGTACACACACAAATTTAGTACAGACAAACTCTGATACAAACACAAGCTTACTACAGACAAGCTCACTGCACACACATGCTCACCACAGACAGGAGCAGACACACCCATGCTCCCTACAGACAAGCTCACTGACACACATACAAGCTGACTCACTAGCAGGCACACACACAAACTCACTAGCAGGTACACACACAAGCTCACTCACTAGCAGATGCACACACACAAATAAATCCACACACACACAAAGACAGGCAGACAGCCACACACACACCAAAAGCCACACACAGGCAGATTGCCACTCTCACACACACAGTGTCACACACAGGCAGACAGTCATACATACACACAGAGGCAGACAGTCACACGCACAGTGTCATACATACAGAGGCAGACAGACACTCAATCCGAGAGTCTTTGAACTTTTGTGGACTTCACTAGACTGGTAATCTATACCTTATCATGGACTGACTTGTATTTTTGATGAAATTTAAATTTTTGCATCTTTATTTTATTCTTATAAACTGGATTCTATTTTTTAACCCAGTTTCTTTTACCATTGCTTATACTTCTCTACGTTATTTATTTATTTTGTTGTTATAGCACACAGTTCCACATACTGTAGTGCCATATTACCACTTGTATCTTTGTTTAGTACAAAGTATATTATTCCGGTGCAAGTACCTATTATCTGTTACCCTGTATCTATTCAGGGACAGTTTGTTACTGCACCTTCCATGATTTGTTACATTACTGGTTGATTTTATTCCTACTACCACTACTATTTTAAATTCTCACTCTATTCCAATTCTCACTCTGTTTTTGTTCAGTATTTTTATCCATATTATCTTTTACTATTCTTAAAGGCACAGTATATATTTATACGTTTAGATATTTGCACTCTTTAAAGGCCCAGTACCTATTTTTGAATAGCACCCTATCAGTATTTATTTTATTCTCTACCTACACTTTGAGCCACACACTAGCTAGTTCCTGGATTATTTGCACTTCCTCTCCTATTGCTTTCTTCCATTTTTGTCACATAGGTTTTAGTGAATCCCTATTGTTCCAGTTTGCAGCTACCTAGTATTAGTCCTACTCCCTCTCTGCTGTGTATTACACTAGGTATAACAGACTCACTTTATATATATATATATATATTTTTTTTTAAATTGGGGTAGCCCCCAAAATATTGGGACATATAAAAAAAGAAACATTTGCGGCCTGCGGTGCATTTTTTGCAGTCCAATAACGTCATCAGGTTTTTAAAACTGTCCGTCTCCACCAGACGGAATGACAGCATTTCAAAGGCCATGAATTTTGAAATGCTGGCATTCAGGGCCAGGGATCGCGGGTGGGTAGGGGGGTACTTCCTCTTTCTCTCCCGTGTTTGGGAGATGGACAGCTGAACGCTTCCATGGGACAGTGTGGACAATTGTGTACCTGGCCTATGCTGGTGCAGGGACCCACCCTCCGAGCCACTTGTGAATGACTGGCCTGAAAACCGTGGAAATGACCCCTCTTCCTCCTCCTCTTCCTCCTGTGCCACATCCTCTTCCATCATCGCCCAAAGCATTTTTTCAAGGAGACATAGAAGCAGGATAGTAAGGCTGAGAACAGCGTCATCGGCACTGGCCATGTTGGTGGAGTACTTGAAACAGCGCAACATGGCACACAGGTCTCAAATGGAGGCCCACTCATTGGTGGTGAAGTGGTGCTGTTCCGCAGAGTGACTGACCCATGCGTGCTTCAGCTGAAACTCCACTATCGCCTGCTGCTGCTGACACAGTCTCTCCAGCATGTGCAAGGTGGAGTTCCACCTTGTGGGCACATTGCATATGAGGCAGTGAGCGGGAAGGCCGAAGTTACGCTGCAGCTCAGACAGACGAGCAGCAGCAGGGTGAGAACACCGAAAGCGCGCACAGACGGCACACACATTCTGCAGCAGCTCTGATATATATGGGTAGTTTTTCAGGTATTTCTGCAACACCAAATTCAGCACATGTGCCAGTCAAGGGATGTGCGTCAAACCGGCTAGGCCCAGAGCTGCTACGAGATTTCGCCCATTATCACACACCACCAGGCCGGGCTTGAGGCTCAGTTGCAACAACGACTCATCGGTCTGTTGTTCCATGCCGTCCAAAGCTCCTGTGCGGTGTGGGGTTTTTCCTCCAAACATATAAGTTTTAAAACAGCCTGCTGTTGTTTCCCCCCGGGCTGTGCTGAAATTGGTGGTGAAGGTGTTACGCTGACCGGATGAGAAGGTGGTAGAGGTGGAGGAAGTGGAGTAGGAGGAGGAGGCAACAGGAGGCAAAGCTGTGTACCCAAATAAAGATTGTCAAATGTTGTATCCTGGAACTGTGTCCCATCCGGTTACTGGGGAAATGGGTCTGACCTATTCTAATCAAAGGGGATAACCATCGGTTACCCAGGTCCCGCTTCAATTGGTGGCAAGCGGCGGGATCCCATGTCCCTGCCAACAGACCCATGGACTACAGTGCTCTAAAGCGACCTACACTGCAGGACTTGCGTGGAGCCAGAGGAATAACGCCTGGTGGGCGTAACAAGGCCGAATTGACTGCTGCGCTCATGGAGGATGACCAGGCATGCAGTGAGGCAACGAACCCCAGCCAGGGGCCAGAGATGAGGAGGAAGTGCGGAAGGAGGTGGAATGGCGCCTGGCATATTACCGAGAGCAACCTCAGCAGGACCTTTTTGGAGGTGCAAGCCTATGTCCTTGCCAATAGACAGAGGGCGACCTCCATGAACCCAGATGAAGGAAGAAGGGAGCAGAGGGCGCCGGGAAGCACAACCACCCTGGCCCACAAGCTACCATACAATGCCTTCAAAGAGTTCAAAGAAGCAGAAGAAGGCATTGATAACTTTTTACAAGACTTGAGCGCCAGTGCCTACTCCAAGACGTGGACCCCAGCGACTGGGTCACCATCCTGGCCAGCAAACTAGTGGGGAAAGCAGCGGATATTTACGGGGCTGTACCAGAAGAGCAGATCAGGGACTATACCTTTATTACACAAATTCTCCTGGCCCGGTATGAGGTCACCCCCGAGCAATACCGCCAAAAGTTTAGGGAGACCCGGAAAGGGGAGAGACTCCCATGCGGAGTGGGCATGCCACATCACAAGGGCCACCCAGAACTGGCTCAACTCCCATCAAGCCAAGTTCCCAGAGGAGATCACCCAGCTCGTTATGCTAGAGCACTTTTTCAATGGGCTTCCCAACGACATGGCTGGTGAGAGACCGCCAGCCCCAGACTCAAGAAGTATTGGTATGAGCTGCTGAAGCTAGCTCACAATATCCCCTTATAGAAACTTAGAATGTGACCGCAAATAAGAACCAATTGCACGTCCCTGTGATGACGACTACGCATTCGGATGTCTGCCCTATCAACTTTCGATGGACTTTCTGCGCCTACCATGGTGACCAACGGTAACTGAGAATCAGGGTTAGATTCCGGAGAGGGAGCCTGAGAAATGGCTACCACATCCAAGGAAGGCAGCAGGCGCGCAAATTACCCACTCCAGACGCGGGGAGGAAGTGACGACAAATAACAATACAGGACTCTTTAGAGGCCCTGTAATTGTAATGAGTCCACTTGAAATCCTTTAACTAGGATCAATTGGAGGTCAAGTCTGGTGCAGAGCGACTGATCCGTGTGTGCTGCAGCTGAAACTCCACTATCGCCTGCTGCTTGCACAGTCTCTCCAGCATCTGCAAGGTGGAGTTCCACCTTGTGGGCACTTTGCATATGAGGCGGTGAGTGGGAAGGCCAAAGTTACGCTGCAGCACAGACAGGCGAGCAGCAGCAGGGTGAGAACACCGAAAGCGCGCACAGCCGCTACAGTGAATGTCACATCCTGTTCCAAGTTGCGGATCAGTCTGATGATGGCTACTGGTATCCAATACTCTTTTTTTTTTACTGAAGCTGCATCAGGGTCCTGGTATGTGGCCGCACAAACGCTGGTGCTCAACACCAGGGGGCATGTGGATACCCTGTTAATCCATTCCACACTGTGACTCCTAACTTCAACAACAGGCACACTGGGTTCTGGTTGTCCGACCGCCGCCCAGACAGTGTCTTGATCCCGAATAGGTCGATTAAATCTGGTATGAACCCGAACTTTGCAGTTCGGGTTCACTCAACTCTATTATGGATCCTTTGATTGCTCCATCTGTTATTTCGGTAACTGTGGTAATTCACGAGCTAATACATGCCAACGAGCGCTAGGGGACGGCTGCTCTGCTTTTGCACCCTGCTCCCTCTTATGCTGTTCTGGTGCCTCTGTGCGACCAGTACCTCTTCCTCCAAACTGCACACATCACTCGCATGTGGGGTCTAGGACCTCATCATCCTTCACATCATCTTTCACCCACTCCTCAACCCTGCACTTTGCAGAAAGCCACAGCAGTTGGCACCTGTGATTTTCCAGCATGTAAACTCTGCAAAGGACAAATGGGAATTGTTTTAGAATTGTATCCAGGCAACAGTTTTCCCTATAAACTGACCTCTCAGTTTGATTTGTGAGGGTATTGCCCCCAAATTACAATATTGTTATATTTTTATTTGACGGTTCTATTTGACTCAGATATGAAGTGCAGGCTGCAAATGTACTATTTAGCACCCAAAACAATTAGAATTTGTAAAAGTGCGCTGTAAGCACAGTTTTTTACGGTTCTATTTGACTGTCAGATATGAAGTGCAGGCCGCAAATGTACTAGTTAGCACCCAAATAAATTTGAATGGGTCAAAGTGCGTCGTAAGCACAGTATTTGATGGTTCTATTTGACTCTCAGATATGAAGTGCACCGCAGGACGCAAATGTACTATTCAGCACAAAAAAAGTGTTTTTTTTGTTTGTTTTTAAACCAATAATTTAATAGTAGTATTTAAGGGTTTTATTAGACTGTAAGAAATGCAGTACGCAAATGTACTATTTAGCACCCAAAAAAATTGCAATATTTAAAAATGTCTAGATGTTGCCCACTGAGCTACCAGAACAGGATTAAAGTAATGTGCCTGGCTCACATGCAGTTGCAAGTGCACTGCACTCTCTGTGGCACTGGGCTCAGGGCAGGGTACAAAAAATGTAGTTTAGCACCCACAAAAATAATCGCTGTAGTTTGCAGATTCAACACCAGAATTATTTCCTAATCTGTCCCTAACAGCTGCAGCATCCTCTCCCTACACTAATAAGAGCTCATGTGATGTGCGGCGCTACGTGACTCCAGCTTATATATAGAGGCTGTGTCACATGCTGCACTGGCCAATCACAGCCATGCCATTAGTAGGCATGGCTGTGATGGCTTCTAAGGGCAAATGAGCCAAACGCTTGTTGATTGGCTGCCTGCATCCTTTCAAAACGCGCCATTAAATCGCTGAACACCGAACTCCAACCCGAACATACACTGAAATGTCTGTGTTCGGGTCCGGGGTCCAAAAAACATAATGTAAGGTACGAATAATATTATTATTATTATTATTATGATGATGATATTTAGATAGCGCCATCAAATTCCGCAGCGCTTTACAATGGGTGGATGAACAGACATGTAGTTGTAACCAGACAAGTTGGACACACAGGAACAGATGGGTTGAGGGCCCTGCTCAATGAGCTTACATGCTAGAGGGAGTGGGGTAAAATGACACAACAAGGTAAGGATAGTATTAGACTAGTGACAGTTGCAGAGGAGGAATCAGTCAGGAGCTATTAACAGTTTAATTGATACGCTTTTATGAAGAAGTGGGTTTTTAATGATTTTTTGAAGGAGTGGAGACTGGGTGAGCATTTAACGGAGGAGGGAAGCGAGTTCCACAGGAACGGTGCAGCCCTTGAGAAATCGTGAAGGCGAGCATCAGAGGCGGGAGTACGGACAGAAGATAGACGTAAGTCTTCAGCAGATCGTAAGGGCCTAGATGGGACATACTTGTGTATAAGGGAGGATAGATAGGTGGGAGCAGCATTATGTAGAGATTTGAAAGCAAGAACCAGAATTTTAAATTGAGCTCTATATTTTATAGGAAGCCAATGTAGGGACTGACAGAAGGGAGAGGCATGGGAGGTGCGTGCGGACAGGAAGATGAGCCTCGCTGCCGCATACATTATGGACTGTAATGGATTACTTATGCTGCTTTAGTATATATAAGTGACTACCGAACCTATTCAACTTGAACCTGAAATACTACTCACGGCAAGTTGATTTTAGAATATCTCCTAGATTCAGGCTATACCCTCTTTGCCCTCGTGTCTCCTGTGTTCATAGTTGTTCTATGATATAACTACCTAGTTCACTGCTTAGTGAACTTTTTTTTACCAACTTATCCTGTCACTGGACTTAGCAGCAATTATAAGGGTTTGTTCAGCCATATTAAATATAGCTGCATCCTGAGACCAATAGACAAGGATACGGATCTAACAACTATATTTTTGTTCCCCGGCATTATTTCAATTTGTATCTTATTTTTTTTGTTTTACCTACTAAAGTGTTCATCTACTGGATACATTTTGTACAAACATAGCTGTGGGAATTTGTATCGCTGCCTCACAAGGCTCATCTTAAAGCCAGTTATTTAAGCTATACATATTTTACTCCCCTTTAATCCCTTAAGGACACATGACATGTGTGACATGTCATGATTCCCTTTTATTCCAGAAGTTTGGTCCTTAAGGGGTTAAACACCAGTATTGAGTCCCCCCTTGTTTGTGGTGTATTCACCTTTTGTCTGTGCAAAAGAAAAACAACTGCAAAAACCATGCAGAATTTCAATGTTTGCTCCCAATGCCACATTTTTACTAGAAAACCCTTCCCTGGTCTTTGTCGCAAGTGTCCCTCGTTAACCCCTTGCAGTCCATGCTCCTATTATTTTATTAGCCTGTGCAGGCATTTCAGAGCAGCATTGAGGAAAACTTTAAAAAAGGACTGCACACCATGTTCTTTGTTCTATGCTCTTAATAACAATTAAACATTTGTTATAATTAAGTTCCCCAGGTGGTTAAACTCGTTTAGCAATAGTAATCATGATTTGGATTGTTCTATTTTTTTACAAGATTGATTTGTCTATTGCCAAAATTATAAAGCGCAAAAAAACGCAAATAAATGGATTGTGTGTTTGTTAGCATTTATTCAGTTACAATTACCGATTCATTAATAGTGAACTCATGAAAAAAATAACTTATTCCCAAATGTTTCCTAATGTCTGCACACTCATACCTTAGTAGTATATTCCGCTGCACACTAATCTTCTTAGAAAAGGTAGTTATTTGCAAAAAATATAAAACCTGAAAATACATGCAAAAAAATGCATATGTGCCAGTCCAATATCATTTAGTATGTGAAGGTTGATAACAACATTCTCTGTGATTTTAGTCTGTCATAATATGGAGTAAATCCCACGGGGTAAAAAAATAGGTCAAAGGTATAAAAGAAGCTAGAAACAATGTTAAAAGAACGACACCTGTAAGAAGGGTGAGAACCACATGGAAGTGACCCATGGGAGAATCAGAATGCCCTGAATGTTTTTCACGCCTGGCATGGCATTTTCTCAACACGTTAAAACAAAAAATAATTGTAATAAAATCTTAAAGCCACAGTGCACCTTTAATAATTATTATGTATTACTTAATTACTATTATATATCAACACTGAGGAATATATGACCAAGCTTGTTGAGAAAGTGCCAGGGCATTCTGGTCTTTACTTGGGTCATTTAATAAATTAAATATACTGCCTCTAAAAGAAGAAACATTCTCTAATTTTATAAAAAAAATTTTTTACCAATTTGTAAACACAGTTGCTACATGTATCACTGAAAATAATGTCTTTTTCTCTTTTTACATGCAGGTAATATTTCGTATTTTTCCCGCAACAGGAATATATTCTGCAATATTGTCTGTCTGTAAAACTGTTTACGCCCAAATTTCAGAACAGTGTCAGACTTTACAAAATAAAAATAAAATGTACTATGTAAATATTTATAACTTTGCTGATACACACAGCAATTGGGAAATGTGTCTTTATACATTTGTACTAATGAAAATGCAATATGTATATACAATATTGTATTATTTACCATTAATATTTATAAAACACTCTCTGTGATAGAATGCTAAAATCAACATGGTGTACAGATCTTGTGGCTTGCTGCTAAATATTCCTAATAAACTGTCAACAGTTTTCTATATTTATTTAAAGTTATAGAAAATATATATATATTTTGAAATGCAGAACATATGCTGCTCACTGTCTGAAGTTTATGGCAGGGTTAATCACAATCACATGATAATCACTGATAAGTGTGCAGAATTTTAAAGACCCAACTTTAATCGTTATTCTGAACCCTGGGAAAGATCGAATCTGAATTCCAGACCAATAAGTTCCAATAACAGGGACACGCATAATTGCATTTTATATACTTCCACTTTCTTATATCTGTAAAGTAGATATCTCCCATATATTTTGCATATTTTGCAAAAACCCACAAAAGTGATATCTACTGTGATGGAATTGGTGGCTGTGGGATGCAGGGGGAAGGCAGTTGTAC